TGTATACATATTATATATATCTCCCACATTTTATCTATTCATCCATTGGGGTTATTTCCACCTTTTGACTATTGTGACTAATGTTGCCATGAACACTGATGTACAAATATATATTGAAGTAGTGGAGATTTAAAAATAATCTTTGTAATAAATCCATTCATTAAGCTTGCACAATTAATAAATGTGCAATGCTGCTTTACTAGACAATCCCAACTCAAGATCCTTGAATAGGAAAAGAGACTCTTAGTTCTGGTCACATGACCTGAGAAATTATGAAGTCGGCTTTGTCTTCTTGCATTGAGAAGACATTTTAGATGTTAACTGTATTAGCCCTTCTCACCATCTATCACATATTACTTTTTGTTGTTTGTGTCTACCTTCAACCCCCACCACCTGCTGCTTCCGCCAAAATGTAAATTTCATGAGGACACAGATTTCTTTTTTCATTGCTTTGTTTACTGCTGTATTCTTGGTACTCAGAACTGTACTGGCTACAGAGTAAACAGTCAATAAGATCTGTTAATGAATGAAGGGTGCTCAAATGTTATCTACTTCTGTGTTTACTGGAAATGTTTTTATTTTTATTTTTTTTGAGTCGGAGTCTCACTCCATTGCCCAGGCTGGAGTGCAGTGGCACTCTCACAGTCACTCCAGCATCGACCTGCTGGGCTCAGGCAATCCTTCTGCCTCAGCCTTCCAAGTAGCTGGAACTACAGGCGTGTGCTAGCACACCTGGTTAATTTTTTCTTCTTTCTTTTTTTATTGTAGAGATGAGGTCTCACCAAGTTGGCCAGGCTGGTGTCGAACCCCTGGGCTCAGGCAATCTTCCTGCCTTGGTCTCCCAAAGTGCTGGGATTACAAGCTTAAGCCACCACGCCCGGCCAGCTGGATATGATTTTAAAGGGCTCTAGATTTGACTTCTGTTGAACATCTCAGTATCTGTTTTCCTAGGGTAGAATATTCTAGTCCAAGGACATAGGTGTGTGTTATAGACATTGTGAGTGTCTGGAAACAAAGTATGACAAATAATTAAGTAGCTTTGGGAGATGAAAGAAGATTGAGATGTACTAGACAAAACATATAAAAGTTATGTCTCCTTCTAATTTGACTGTATTGCTCCCAAAGTAGTAGCGTATAAAACATCAGAAAAATTTCTACATTGATAGCCTAGATTCAGGGAGAAATAACAAATTGATCAATTATCATAAAAAAGAAACAATCTTAAAACACCACTTTGTAAAATAAGAACATTTCATTATTTCCTCTTAATGCAGCTATTTATTGTTTTTTACTGTAGTAAATCTAGATACTAATTTGCAGAGTCTCTGTCTTTGAGATGCTAATTTGAGTCTTTAAAATATTAAGAACTTTAAAACATTAATATCACTTAGGGGACCTGGTCCTTTTTCTTGTAAGCAGGAAACTTGACTCTGTGAGGCAGGATGATGTCCGGAAGCATTTTTAGCCTCTGGCTTTGTTGGAATCATTTTCCTTTTCTTGGATTTTAGTAAGGATATAATCTCAGTTCCAGCTAGAAAAGGAGATCACAATGCCAGGTGTCAAATCCACAAATCAATCCTCTCCTTAATTGCCAAAGTTTGACACGTCCCTATGTTTGTCCCAGAAAAGTCTAAACGCCCTTTTATTAACAATGGGGGATTAAATTTCCTATGTAGACAAATTAACTCAAATTATAAGACAAACAAACAAAAACATACGTGGGCTAGAGTGGGGGTAGGGGGTGGGTTGACCTTTGATCCAACTTGAAGCTTTCTCAAAGTCATCTCTTCTCTTCCCTTTCTCCTGTGTATTTTCCACAGACTTTTTCCTCCCTTTATTACCTGGTTACTACCTTCTCTGAAGAATAGGTTTTGTCAGCAACTCTTTTAAAAAAGTCTCTTTTTTACTAATTAAAGTGGAAGAGGCTAAAAAAAGTGTTCATTTTCCTACTGAAATGAGTGTTTTAAACCATGTAGCTAAAGGCGGAGGACTCCTTAAGGGGATTGAAAACTTTATTGTTTTAAATGAAAGACTAGCTTAAAAAAAAAACAAACCCAAAGTAAGGAATTGGCTTAGAGTTAAAAAAAAGATAAATCAATATGCTAATGAAGGAAAATAAAATATTTTGTAGCTAAGTCAAATTTACGGCCTTGTACATTATAATGTACCCACTAACATCTACTCCACGGTGGATTTAAAGCTTAATATCTTCCTCTTATAGTGGTGATTGTAGACCCTATTTTTTTCACATGTACATACTGTGTGGTCTTCAATTATCTCAGAAGTGACAAAATAAATCTCTAAATAAGTTTAATTTTGATTCAAAAATAAATGTCCAATATCTACTTTATTATTTTTGAATGGGAAAAAGGGAAAGAAGAAAACCAAAATTGTTAAGAAAGTTAAAGAGTAAACTCATCTAAGCCTTAAGCCAAGTTAAAACACCTTGTGCGTAATGCAGAGAAAAACTGTCCCTTTAACTTCACTTTCATTCACACTGCTCCCTATGCACAAGAAAGACCAGATGTCTAGTTTCCAGAGTCTGAGGCTTTTTTCTTAGTACTTGAAATGTATTTTTTTGAAGTTTGGAGAAAAACCGCAGCTCATTCTGATCTTTACTTTAGCATTTTACAGTTTAATAATTTCATATACCAGAAGTGTTTCAGCAGAAAATGAGCTTTGAATATTTATGCATTTGCAACAATCCAAGAAAGGCTTTGGAAAAAAATTCTTTTTTATTTTGAAAACTCCATTATTCTAAAAAAAAAACCCAAAAAAACCCCATAAAAAACAAATTCATAGTTTTCATAGAGAATAGTGGGTACAATGTAGTGTGTGTAAGGACACTGAATAGGAAGGAAAAGGTATGAGTAGATGACATTTTTTTCCTTGTCTGATTCCTGCTAATTGTAGAAAAATTAAATATTATATATAGTATTTCTTCCTTCCTCAAAGAAAACGATGTTTGGAAATTCCTGTGTAAAGCTAATTTGCCACAAGGAGTATAAAGCCCTTTAATGGGATATGCAGGTCCCTATGGGAATTTTTTTAAAAAAAAAACAGACACCATGTGGTGCAATCTGTTACAGTCTACGAGGCGGGGGCGGGGAGGGTAGCTCTGCAGGGGCCAGGAATAAAGTCATCTCTGAGAGTTTTTGAGGTATTAACTAAAATGGGAAAAATAATACAACTGAAGCCTGGAAATATCTTCCCTTCTGTCCTCAATAGTAACCCAGGATGTACTAAACTTATGCTTAAAAAATATATATTATTTAGCAAGTTAGTTAACTTTAGGGAGAAAAACCCAAACCTTTTCTGAGATGGTTAAATTGCCATTCATTTTGTATTTTAATCTAACCTACTGGTGATTTAATTTACAGATCTCAAAGGAAGTGTACGCTCAAATATTTGAGGACGTTAACGTATCAACCACTGTGTAATTTTGGAATGTGCCTACTCGCTTGACACAATATTTTACCATCTAACAAATGTTTAGCCTTTTTTTTCACTTGACTAAAGAGAAATAAGTTTCACATTGCTTCATTCACCTTCTTATGTGCATATGCTGGGAAAGATTGGATGTTAAAAAAAAAAAAAACTTCCTCATGTTCCTTTCTACTACATCTAAATCTGTTTACCAATTCAAAGCTGCTAAAAAAACCTGCATTCTCCTGCTAAATCAACTGGATGGCTAGAAACCAAACTGTAATGTAACAGAAAAAAAATTATCAATTTATTTTCATGACAGAACATTCTTGAGAAGGTATAAAATTGTTCTGGTTGCTATGCCAGTTTTCTTTTTTCCTTTCTCTCTCTCTCTCTCTCTCTTTTTTTTTTTTTTTTAAGGCTTTCAGCTTTTAAGCTGATACTTTTTATAGTTATATAACAGTTCTAATATTTTATGACATTTTGTATTGTGACACTATAGATGAAATTGTCATCGGACTGACACCCTGTGCTGTTTATTCCTTAATTACAACTGTTAACACAGTAGAGAAGTGTGCTAATCTGCCAGCACATATTATGAAAACAACGTTATTGTTACCCACACCAACACCCACTCAACAGGATATTTCCAAGATGGTAGTTTTAAAGAACTTATCAGTACAATGGACGTTTCAACATAGATTTTTTTGTTGTTATTATTGTGCATGTGTGTGTGTGTGTTTTAGCTTGTCCTATTGCCTTCTTTTTTTATATATACTTTATTTTAAAAATGTGAGGTACAATTCAGAATTAGGTATACAAGTGGTCATCATACAGGTAAAGTTTGGGCCTCCCTTTGCTCCCCACTTTGTCTAGTTTGAGATCAGATAAAAACACAAACCAGTTTGAAATTTAAAACATTTGATTGTAAATGGCATAGATACGCTGTACTAGCAGAAGCTGCTTCTATAGTTAGAAACTTATAATTTTTTTCCAGTGCTCAAGCAGTGGTGGACTGAGGAATCTCAGAGCCGTTTAGGACTTTGACCCAAAGCTTTCTGACAGTTTTCTCAGAAATAATGAAAACAGAAGGGAAAGAGAAGGGCAAGTTTAAAGATGAAAAGATAAGAGAGGGGTTATTTGCATCTGCAGGGTTGACAATTCTTAAATAACCAAGTCAAAATCCAATAACCATTCCCAGTTTTAACAGATTTCCTTTTTCAAAACCAGGCCAAAGGCTTCCTGAAACTGGCTACATATTAAATGCTTTATATTTTAGTTCTTTCTGTCTCTAGAACTTTTAAAAGCTTGATTATCTGTGAGGCATAAAGTCCTATGAATTTATTTTCTGATTAGTATTAGTTATTATACTAAGGCAGACAAGTGTCACTGTCTTTCAGTTGCTAAAAGACTTCATAATAGTAAGCAAAGACAATACCTTGTCTCCAGAATAAAACAACTAAAAACTGAAGATTTAGAAAACTTAAACTCAGAACCAACATTACTGTTTAGAGGAGAGTGACTATGTAAGTTATTTTTTAAACAACACATATAACACTGACTTAATAATTTACTTAATAAGGATTTCACCTTCTAATACTAGTTTTTAACATGTCCATGGGTTTGGTAGAAAGCAAATTCATGACTTGATAACATGAGACTTTCCAGTAAATTCTTATATCTTCATTGTTATTTAGAAGGTAAAAAAAAATATGAACACATTCAACTCCTAGAGTTCCTGCAGTTACCTACATACTCTTTAATATTCAGCTTTATTAAGCAGGGTTTTTGAAATACATGTGAAGAAGTTATCACTGTGCCTCCCTTTGAATGGTATTTTCTGCTTCATTTTGATTTTCAACACCAATAGGATATGGTGCTCTTCCTAAAAGAAACTGTTCCCATTTGGGAATATATTCTTCTACTGATGCCCAGTAACGAGTCTGGAAAAAGAAAACCAAAAGTAAAAAAGCATATCAAGCAATTGAACTTGGCTCTTCATAATAGTCTAAATGTTTATTCACTTAAGTGTGTGTGCATGTACACACACACACACACATACATATACGTAGAATGCATTTCCTCTACAGAATATTTTATGTTAATTTTAGAAAAAAATCTGGCTACTTACTAGTGTTAATTTTCAAATTTCTCAGTAAAACCAGAGCCTGGCAGAATTACAGGTTTTAGAATTTTATTGTGATTTTACACGCCCTCTTGTGGCCAACTTTGTGACTAGTGCCAGTAGTATTATTTACGACTCTACAGTCATTACATGTTTTCGTTTAATATTCCAAATTCCATACCAAATGATGACCCATACTGAAATTATTCCAATGGCCTTATTAAACATAATATATAAATGCTTCAGAGTTAACATTAAAAGATTTAATTGGGGAGGAGATCAGAAACTGAAATATAACTAACTGATAAATTACATCCTAGGATTCAGATAAATTGGCCCCTTAATTGTGTGGGAAATATGTATCTACTATATCTAAAATAACACTTGATATGACAAGTTGTAATATTTCCCCCAGTTTTTTGGTTTGGTGAGAAATATCAATATAATTTAACCATTTTTAATACAAACAGCTTGGAAGTTGAGGTGCTGTATTATTTCTTTGACTGTAGTGGTCTATGGGCAATAGAAGCTCATGCAATATTGCCATGTCCAGGAGCTTTGACGGCTTCTTGGGTGAGAGCCCTAAGAAAGTCAAAGAGAACTGCCAAAAGCCCTTTGTCATAGGAGGGCAATTCATATTAGATCATCACTATCAATCTCATTTTGGAAAATTCAGTCAATGAGTTAGCATTAGAAATAAATACTCATTCTAAGCATCAAGAAGTATAACAGTTCTGAAGGTTGAAAATGGTGAGGGATTCTATATATCTAAACATTTCTATGCATGTGGTCTGAGAAACAGTGTGACATGCTTAAAATAAAGGTCATCCTGCTGTGCAAGACTTGGTAAGAAAAATACCATCTGAGGTCTGTGGTTGGGAGTTTCTCTGCCATTCATGGCTGGATTAACCCCTATTGTGTGAGTCCTGTACATGCCAGAGTAAGGTAGTAGAGAATTCAACAAAGAAAAAGACATGCCCAAGGCACAACTTTGTATCAGAGTTTTTTTCTATCCTTGAACACTGCCTTTATTTATTACCCTAGATGACACAGAAAATTGAGGGGCAAATTTTCAATCTTTAATTTCAAGTCTATTTATATCCCTGGTTGGGAAGAAAGTAAAATTATATTTGAAAGTATCATTAAAAGTATAAAATGAAACTTTCAATATGTAGTAAATTCCCACTAATCACAAACACATTTATATACCAAATATAGTTTATTTTTACCAATCATCATTCCAATCTGTTTTTGAACTGAACAAAATAAAACAGATAAAAGTCATACTAGTATATGATAATATACATTAAATAGTTTTGATTAAATTTTTGGTAAAGGGATTAAACTGCTATCTCTAATATCAGCAAGCAGAAAAAGCATTTGGGTTAGGTGTGCTGTCATCTTAGGATTTAGTGTACACCTGTCTGTTATGGTTTAACAGGATAGTTGCTTCTAAGTGACAAGGTAAAAAGACTCAAGCTCTTTATGAAATTTCCACTTGAAAATTTTTGAGTAAATCAAGATATTTTTCAGTGACCTATTACATATAAAGCACAGTACTGTGGACATATAAAGATCAATAAAACACATCTTGCTTAATTTACTGACTAAATATATCTGGAAAATTCATATAACCACGGTTTGCACTACTAACAGAATAGGGTCTCTTTTTATGTTTGTCCCTTAAAATTCTCACCTCAAGAGAAACCACCTCAGGCCGTGGAAGTCGGTGAATCCTGGACTGTAGAGATTGTTCTGCTTCTTCTATATCCTGTAACAAATATCAGCATTTTATAGTCAGAGTATATTTACAGAACACAAATGACACCTGTACTAGTAATATCTATATCCCAAATCTCTCACCTCAACTCTTCTCTGGATATACAGTTTGACAAGCTAGAGGGACACTGAGGTACAAACATTGATCATTGCTCAATTAGCCCATTTCAAATAAAGAGTATAGCATTTCTTATTTTAAAATAGCTGGGGAGATGGTATTCCTAAGTTCTACCTTTTCACTTTGAGTAACTAGTAAATGTCAGTAACTCATGCACAAAGCGCTTCTTCTCAAACTGCTCAGAGCATTAATTTAGCACCAATATCACCTAAAAACAGCCAGATGGATAAAATGATAAAATATTCAGATATAAAACAATGAGGTACTCAGACCCACCCTGTGTTAATCTTAAAAGTGAAGAGATCTAGTCTTTTCAGATGATGAAAATAATATATCGTGTGCTCAACATTCCATTAAAAAATTTTCTATGTAGGCAAATATCACACATATTTAAAAGAAGCTCAGTGAGGTACCTGCATACTTTGTGACAAGGACTTTTTCACTATACTATGTAGATTATTTTTAGTACTAGATTTCTAAGTTAATTTCTTATTTGTTTATTTATTTTGAGTTGGAGTCTCACTGTTGTCCAGGCTGGAGTGCAGTAGCATGCTCATGGCCACTGTAGCCTCGACCTGTTGGGCTCAGGCAATCCTTTTGCTTCAGCCTTCCAAGTAGCTGGAACTACAGGTGTGCAACACCAATTCTGGCTAATTTTCTTGGTTTATTGTAGAGATGATGTCTTGCCAAGTTGCCCAGGCTAGTCTTGAACCTCTGAGCACAGGCAATCCTCTCGTCTCTGCCTCACAAAGTGCTGGGATTACAGGCGTGAATTACCATGCCTGGCTAAGTTAATTTCAATGGCAAGTTTTATTGCTAGCTGGTATATCATTCAGCTGATGGCATGCAAGCATTGTGCCTTAATTTTAGTTTAATTTGTACAAGTGTGTATTTTTTTTATGATTGTAAAAACACAAGGGTAACTAACTTCATATCCTGGGTAAAGATTTTTACTTTGATACATACATGAAGTACATGCCCAGAAATGTAAGACCCTGCGAGTTATTACTGAAGCATTTGAGCCTTGTTTAATAACTGCTTCAAAGTCAGCACCTGTGGTGTATTGTGCCCATTTACTAGGTCTGTCAAGTTTACAGTGGTCAAAGGCTGTGTAAATTTTGTCTCTCCTTTGAGTTTAGTGAGTTGACAGAAAAGAGAAAGTTCTCCAATCCACGTACGAGCACTGGAGCAATCTAAGTACAGGGCTGTTGGACAGACGGAGAGAGATGGAAAAGGGCGTGGGAGTGGGGTGTGAAGAAGCCAGTGCTGAACAGGAGAAGAGAGCTAGCAGATGGTAGCGGCGGGAGCAAGGAATGGGTGTGAAATGTAAAAGGGAAAAACAGGAAATTCCCTAAAGGGACTCCCCAAAGTTGCACAACCATCAATGCACCTGCTGTCTAGAAGAAGGAGGTTTGAAGGAAAAAAGCCATCTATTTAGAGATAAGAAGCCAATCTATTAACATGGCTATCCCACATCAGAAGTTTACAGCTAAACTAAGCAAGCTAAAATGTTTTCGATGCTGATGCCTAATAACTTCTGTAATTACACTGGGATTTTACAAGGCCCTGGAAAATTTATTTTATAAATCAAATAAACACAAATAGAATAATCATGACCTCAATTATGCCATTATTCTAAGAACAGTTGTAAAAACAGTTGTAAAGTTATTGTTAGTGGCAGATATAAGTGCCACTAGTATTGTAGACCATATTATAAACATTTTTCTTGAAGACAAGAAAACAAAGATACTGAATATCTTTTATAGAAGAGTAGATTTTCAAATGCAAAAACAGAAGTGAATAGAAGACATGAGCCTGGTAAAGCAGACCTATGGTTACACACAACTATCATCTCTGCAGCATTTGACTAAGGATTATCATCCCTCCGAAAAACTTCTTCCTTAGCTTGTGATATTTACTTTCTTAAATGATATACTTACCTCTGTGATTCCTACTTCTCTTTCTCTTTAGCTGGCTCTTTTTTCTCTCCTTGCTTCTAAGTGTGGGCTTCCTTAAGATTTGTGGCATCTGTCCTCATATTTTTACTTTATCACTTTCAAAACTGTCTTTTAGCGAGCTTCAACTAATTTTTACTGTAGAGGTATAGCTAACCTTTCTTCCTAGCTCTTATTTCTCAACCAAACAAAATTAATCTCATCTTTTTCCTACTGAATGTATTGAATAAATGATAGCAGAAATTCTATCCATCCATCTACCTATACTGTTTCCTCTATTTTTAACTCTTATTCCCTGCTATTTAAAATTTCAAACCTCTATCGACTGTTCCTCCAGGATGTCTCTTTTAGCCTTTCCATTTCAATCCCAATGATATAGCCTTATCATTACACTTATTCATTCAATAAATGCTTATAGACTACTCACTCTGACTCATGCCTACAATATATCTTGTTTTACTTCAATCCATACTACCATGGGATTAATTAATTTTTCTAAATAATTACTTTAAGTACGTCCTTCCTTAGACTAAAAAAAATGATCACTATTCACTACATAGAGGAAGAAGTGTGAATTCCTTAGCCTGACTGGAAAAAATCTTTGCAATCTGATCCCAGCCTTCTATAACAAGTTGTATCCTAATATTTCCATATTAGAACCATTCCTTTGACTGTGTAATGCCAGAAAGTAAGGACAATGTCCCATACAACTTTTATGCACCTGAGTATCTAAAAAAGTACAGGGCATCTACTAGGCACTTAAATATTTATTAAATGAGTAAATAAGATGTCAGAGTTTCCTGAATAAAAACTGAAAACTTAAAAAAAAAAAAGTGCCCAAGGTAGGTGGAGGTAAAAGGAAAAAGGGAAGAAAAAGAGAAGTGAAACTTGCTTGACCAAACCTTGTTTGTTTGCCACCAGAGCATTTAAAATTGTATATAGTTACTGAACAAATAAAAAAGCAATTCTCCCCAAATAGGAAACCAAATGAAACAAATCTGTTATATAGTTGTTAGCATAATCACACAGAGATGAACTTATACCAAGTATCCCTAGTGGGATATACCCTAGGGACAAAAAAAAAAAAAAATTGGAAAAGTATCTTACTGAAAACCATTCCCAGTAATCATATTGTTGGTGGTAGTGATGTCTGTATCACAGGTTAATTCCTTGGAAACAGACTTCTGGTGCAAGAAAAAGCAGCATAAGAACAATTATTTTAAGTTAGGAAACTTGCAATCCTGTAATTGAATTGGAAGTACTGATATAAGCTCCTGATATACACATATATATTTTATTTATTTTATTTTATTTTATTTTTTTTTTGAGTTGGAGTCTCACTCTGTCACCCAGACTGGAGTGCAGTGGCCACTCCTGGCCACCGCAGCCTCGACCTGCTGGGCTCCGGCGATCCTTCCACCTCAGCCTTCCAAGTAGCCGGAATTACAGGCATGCACTACCACGCCCGGCTGATTTTTTGATTTATTGTAGAGATGAGGTCTCGCTGCCCAGGCCGGTCTCGAACCTGTGGGCTCAGGCAATCCACTCACCTCAGCCTCCCAAAGGTGTGGGATGACCGGCTGAGCCACCGAGCCCGGCTATATTTTATCTTAAAAACAACAACAATAAGTTGGAACAAATACCCTAGTGCCCTGATTGAGGGCTGTAAATATACTTCCTACCAAAAGGAACCAGGGCTCCTTGGAGCTATGGCCAGTTCCAGGTCTGGGCAGCAAATGTACATGATGACCCTGGAAGAACTCATATCACAAAGAAAGGGAACCATCAAAGACTGATAAGATCATGTCAAAGGCATTTGGGAGCTAACCTGAAGAGGTTTCCACTTGGTAAAAATGGGACAAACTGAGCATAAATAAAAATAAAAATGGCAGGGAATAAAAATATTTCAAATCCCAGATAAATTAAAAACAAAACAACACCTCATTGGTCACGTTTAGAGGATGCCAGAAATCCAAACTATTACTTTGAAAACTATAGGGAAAGAACCAAGCACTCATCATAACTTTTCCTACGTGAACTATACTTCAGTGTAAATAAGTGATGAGGGAAAGATTCTCTTCAAATAAATAATCAGCAACTGAATGAGAAGGAATAAAAGGGTCCGAGTATTGCTTTTTACAACCTCTTATGACTATATCTAGGCAATGATTGCCAATGACTGCCAATATTCCAAAATGAAAGACAACCAGGTATATGGAAGTGTTCCTCTCTAAAACATGGACCTAAGTTTGTTCATGTCTCTAGATCTGCCTTAATACAGTAGCTATTAGCCTCATGTGGCTACTGATTGCTTGAAATGTGGCAAGTCCAAATTAAGATGTGCTGTAGTATAAAATTGAACTAAACTTTGAGGACCTAGTAAGAAAGATATTTGTTTATTTTTTATAGCAAACATTTGAGATGTTTTGCATATTCCTAATTAAATAAAATGTTATTGCAATTAATTTTGTGTTTCTTTTGATTTTACTAAAAGTGGTTACTAGAAAATTTAAAATTACATATGTACACATTATATTTCTGTTGGACAGCACAGCTCTAGATATATACATTTAAGGAATTACAAGGAATAGAAGTATATGCTAAATGATTCCTCAGAGGTGTAATTAGCAATAGCCAGACTAGGAAACTCTACAGGATAAATGACCTAATTCCTTCAACAAATAAATTAAAGGGGGGGAAAAGAGCAGGCGGGAACTATTAGAGACTTATCAATTACAATGTTAGATTTTATTATTTGGATTAATTCAAACAAATGCAAAAATATGTAAATTAATCAGGAAAATTTGGTCCCTGATTAGATATATAAGGAATTAGTAGTAATTTGTTAAATTGATAATGGTATTGTGATTTTGCTTAAAATAGTCCTTATCTTTCAGTGATATACACTGAAATATATAC